AATTTAGCCAATTGTGAAATAAGTGAGGATAATGATAACAAGTGCCTTGATGATGTGCTTTCTTCTTCTTTGATAGAACTCGATTAAAATAACTCTAGGGTGTCTAGTAACTGTGCAGTAGAAGCCTACTCTGATCTAGAGTGCAATGACATCGAAAATTGCATTATATCAGATGCATTTTCCAATTCAAAGAACATAAATATTGATTTATTGTCTTTAAGATACACAATAGGGTACGTAGCTAAAAAAATACTTTTAAAACTAAATAGTGAAGCTTGCAATATAAACTTAAAAAAAAGGGATGAAATTTTGACTGCTCCAAGTGAGCTTTTCATCTACTATAAAAATTATAATTCTCTTTCAAATTTCGGTAACCTGTTTGCGCCATCAGAAAGTTTTTTCACTGTTTCTTGTAAACATATCGAGATTTTGAACAAGTATTCAAAAATAAACCAGATGCAATTGGCATTAAAAGTTTAATAATAGAAATGTGCAAGAAAAAAACCCCTGTAATGAACATTTAATCCAGCTTCTTGATTTTTTAATTCTGCTTTTACTTCGTAAGCATTGCTTGTGGGCCTTAGAGAAGTCTAAAATCAACAAACAATTCTAAAATGATTAAGAAATATGTTAGCTCTACAATTCAAGTTAGCACTTAATATAAGATCAATTAATACAACTCTTGTTAACAATAACGTAAAGGAACTTAGCCAGAATTTAGTCATAAAAATATATAGTGAATTTATATTTTTTTTGAATGTTAAGAATAAGAATATTATTAAAATAATTTGTATTATTAAATAACCAAACATTGTAAAATAGATGATTATATTCTTAGAATTAATTAAGTTAAGCAAGTGTCAAATTAGCGAATATTATATAAGTACATATTTTACATTTTCTTAGAATTAAATTAAATTGTAATATTGCAAGTATTAGTAAAATAACAAAGAACAAAACATACCAAATAGTTTAATAAACGAAATATAAACATATGTAAATATACATACAAATTAAAGAAAACGATCATAATATAAAATGCATATATATATATACATATGTTTTTATATCCAAAAGAGCATATTTATAACCAACAGAGCGGTTGAGTGTGATAATGTGCACATATCAATGAAAATGCAGTCTCTTTGCACTCATATAGTAAAAGGACTCAAATATTGAGTAATTCCTGGGTTTTTAAAAAACCAGTAGAACAAAATTTTTGTGACTGATATTTTTTTCGACATGCACACTCTATGTGTATATACTCTTTGTTTATATATAAAACAATGAACTTTGTATATAATTTTTCCTACATTTCAAATCCAATCTGACTATAACAATTACAACATTATTGATCCATGAAGCATTTATTATTTTATGTTCACTTGATAGTATTTCGGTATTTATCAGAATAACTAATCTAAAATTATTTAATCCGTACTTTGATTAATTCAACGGATAATTGTGGTCGTGAATTAATTTTGTAAGTCTGAAAGATATTCACGAGCTGTTTCGGGAGTTCCCATTTTACTTAAGGTTTATTTGTTACTTTTTATACTTATATTTTGGTATAGAAGTTAGTGAACAGACATTAAGAAAAACTTTTTTTAACTTTTAAAATTAGACATGATATTTACCATGACAGTTTAATAGCATTATTATTATTACTATGAGATCTATTATACTATTCCTGAATAGTTAGGCGTTAGCTATTCTAAACTAATCTAAACTAATTAAGGCTGCAAATAAATATAACAATATCTATTTCTTTTAAATACCGAAAGTTATTGGGTTCAATGAAAACCACATTGAAATACTAGACCCATTTTCTGGCAATAACAAGATTTGAAGATTTGATAAACAGACGTTTTGGTCCGCATTCCCTAGATTATTCAGCTACTTACACACTTTAATCTAACTTTTGAAAGATAAAAATGAACAGAAGTGCATACATATCTATTTAAACTCACTCAAGACTTACTTCTCGTATAATTCTCATATTCGATTGGTTAATCTTAGCCAAAATGTATAATACTCGAAATTAATTTATAACACTCTCGATATTTTGCCCCATTAATGAAGCAACCCTGAAATTACCAGATGGTTTATATTATTTGACAATTAAATTGTATTTGTCCTGTTGGGTTTTTCAAACATGTTCGATTGGGTCCCAGAATTTGAGCAAAAAAATTATAGATCGAGACAAAATCTAATTTTGACTACAAATCGATTGCATTAAACCTTTAAAGTTGACACAAATCATTACAAGAAAAGTATATTTGATGTCTTTCTGTACTGATGCAGTCCGACAATAAAATATCTAATAAAATTTTTGGACCTTATCAAGGTCAACTTTATCCTCAAGCTTATCACCTAGCTTGTGTCAATCATTAGATTCCATTTACCAAATATCTAGATGAGTTACATTTTCATGTATTTTGTAAAAGTTATTGAAATAATAAAATCGAAGATTTTTAGATAAATCAACCCGTGAAATGAAATTTTATTTTTTATTGAAATAGCGAGCTCTAGTTGTAGTCTTTATACGAATCTTGTAAGCATTACAATGCAAACATATTTTAATTATTTGTCTAATTAGAATATTCGACGTATATTAAAATAATAATCTTTACTATCTTTGATGACAGACTACTTTAATTCCAACCATAATTGGCATATTAGTCGAACATGTCGCAGATGTTTAATTTCAGGTCTGTGAATTCACCACTTTCAAACATGGGTTTATTGTTGTTTAATTATTTTTGTTCTTGAACGTCTACTTTCACATTTCAGTATGGGGTGTCGCATTGTTTTGGTAGAACTCTAACTACACCTTTTCCATTTCTTAATTTTAAACTTTTTTGTTTTAATGAATCCAAACAATTTATCCAGCTAATGACAGTATACTTCAGAATTAATCGTGGTGTAGACCAGTAAAGGCTGAAAGGAGAATCAAATAGATAATAAATAAATAATAGATAACTTATTTTTGCTGGTTATCGGCTTTTGAATTGCTTTGAATAGATTCATTTTATTTACTCCATAGTATTTTGTGTTTCACATTGCGATAGACAATCCATTTTCGACAATAATTCTATATACATATAATATTTTTCCATTTTCCTCCACACCAACGGCACTTGTCGCGCCCATTCATAGTATATATTTTGATTTGTGTTGTAAGAATGAAGAAAGAAATCCATATATAAATAACGATACAAAAAGGGACTCCCTTTTTACTACATAAACTGAACACTGAATGGTTTTTTTTTATGTCAAAAACATACCAATATTAGTTCTTCAAAGTTGTCATGAAATGATAATTCTTTTCACATCAGTTTATTAATATTATTAATTTCGCTCATATAGTTTTAATATTAATTTATTTTTTCAATTTTTTTTTCTCAAGAATATAAAAAAAGTACAACATAACGTATACGTTACATAAATTCGAAGAACACGCTTCTCTCTCTGACAAAATTGTGTTCACTTGTATTTGCGCATAAATTTTCATAATTAACTAGATATTTCCAAGAAAATATATAAAAATTAATTTCATGTAGTTATTATTCATAAATGTCAAAATGAGGCATAAATATTATTGAAAATCAAAGATAATATTTTTTTAATTTTTGTTTTACTTTTATTTTATTATTATTATTTATTTTTATTAATTTGAACACTTCCAAAACTTTTATATTTCAATATAACTGTTAAACATTGTGTTATACATATTGAATAATTGTCATGTGTAGCGAATGCATAAACTGTTATAAGATAATTATAGTTGTATTGTTCAATTTAAGGCATAAATATTTTTGTTTTGTTTATTTTATTGTTATAATTTGTTTCTATTAATCTTAACACTTTATGTAATTGTTATACTTTAATACAATTGCCAAGTATTATTTTATACATATTGTATTATCATCACGTGTGAACCATTGCTCCTCATAGGATCTACGGAAACTAATATTTATATAGAGTCAAACCTCTCTATAACGAAGTCGTTGGTGCCGGCAAAAAACTTCGTTATAGAGAGGTTTGCCGTAGAAAGGTTCGCTATAGAGAGGTTCATATATTTGAAAACCGTTATAAAGAGGAATTCGTTATAGGGAGATTCGCTATATAGAGGTATTATCATCATGTATAATAAATGCATAAACTGTTATAAGATTACTGTAGTTATGTTGTTCAACTTAAGGCATCCATTTTATTCAACATCAAAAATATTATTTTCATAATCTTATTTTATTTATACTATTATTATTATTATTTATTACTTAACTATTTTCTCAATTTGTAACAGATTTATTTTCAGGATTAAAAGAAACTGTATTGTAAAGAACAGTTGAAATGTTCAGACGTTAACAAATATATTATGTTTAACAAATATATTTTTGTTAAAATTTGATATATTAGTATTATTAAAATTAACTTAAGGCAACGATAGATGCAGAGATTAAACACACGTAAGTTAAGGTTTAAAAACCTTTGCTATAACAAGTAACGACAGTAACAGTAACAACAAATACTTACTTCTGTGTTGTTGTGTTTTTAGTTTCTTTTTTTTAGTAAAGCAATCGTTCAACCAACCAACCAACTAAAATAACTTACCATACGCAAGCAAAAGCATATATGTGCCGCATAAAATAGCACCGCAAAAGCACAACACGAAAAAGAAGTAGAAAACGCAGAAGAAGCGTTCAAGCACTCGTCTTGAAGTTCATTTGATATTCAGCTGCATGTGCTCATCTGTTTGACAAATGTATTTGTATAAAAGGTTTTGATTGGTGTTGTTGTTGTTATTGTTGTTTATTGTAGTTGCTGTTATTTGTGTTTTTTTTTTGTTTTTGTTTTTCTGTAATATTTATCTTCTTGTTTATACAGAGTCTATCATAGGCTAAAGAGTGTATTTGTATTAATTTGGTGCTGCATGTGGATGTGTTTGTGTTATTATAAGTGGCTATAAAATACTTTGCACCTCGGAATTGACTTTTGTTTTCGTTTGCGAGTTACAGAGTTTGGTTGTGCCAAACGCGGTGATTAAAACTCAACTAAACAAAACTATATATATATAATATATATAGTATTATATATATATATTTAAAAATAATTAAAAATTAAATAAATAAAAACAATTTTTTTTATTTAAAAACGTTAAACGTTTTTTACTGTGAAGGTAAGCTCGCGTTATATTTGTGGTTTATTGTGATAAAAGGATATTATAAAACATATGTATCAATATTTTTTATTAAAAAAAATTAAAATAAAATAAATAAAAGTGTTCTTTTTAAAAGAAAATAAAAATATTATACATACATAGTGCTGCTGTTATGATAGAAATATTATACAAAAAATATATGGATATATTTTTTATTGATTATGAAATAAAAATTATAAATAAACTTTAAAGTATTTTATTGTTAAAAACTTGAATAATTAAATCTACAAAAACATTTTAAAAAATGGTGAACTGTGAAAAGGACTTTCAAAGAAAGAACTGTGTTGACTTTTAATAATAAAAACATTTTGTGCACTCAAAACAAGAGCAAATATTATAAATTTAAAAAGCGAGACATTATTGCATCTGCAAAAGGATATTAAGGATATTGACAAAGTGCAAGGAAAAGAAAATAAAAACTAATGAATTAAATTAAAACGAAAAAAACTGTAATTAATTATAAAAATTAAAAAAGTTTGTTGCTTAAGTCTTTAGTGTCTGTTAATAATTTTAATACATATATTTGTAAAAGTTATATAAAGTTTAGGTTCACATTGAGCTGTAAACCTAATATGGACTCATAGATTATAAAAAATAGTGGAAAAAATTTAAAATTTCATAAAGAAATATTAAATTTAACATAGGCAAAAAACATAAACTTAATTAAATTTATTGTTTAAAAAAATTATTTGTTAAGAATAGTAATGTTAAAAACAATATATGATCTGCAAAAATGTTAAAAATTACTTAAAGGAACAAAAATATTAAATATTAAAAATGAAATATTATAATAAAAATTAAATTTCAGTTAAAACAAAAAAGGAACTGTATTAAATTATATGACAGTAAAGTTTTTTGTTACAATAAAACAAGAGTATTTATTAATATTAAATAAAATTTCTTATAATAAATCTACAACTTCTTCAAAAGACATATATAATTAAAAAAAAATTATATTACAAATATAAAATAATTATTTTTATTTTAATATAATTGAAACTTTAATGAATATATATAAATTGCGTATAATTTTATTTATTAATGAATAAATGATTATAATTTTAATTAATTTATATTATGAAATAAAAATATATAAATCACAAATTTTTTATAATATTGTAAATTAAATTCATATGGAATACAAATACATACAACAATAAAACATTATTCTTATATATAATTTCATGCAAAAATATATAAAGTACTAAGCAAATGTATTTAACTATATCTAATATATAAATTACTTTAAATTTAAAATTTGCTAAGTGCAATACATTTTCCAAATATAAGAATTAAAAATAAAACAACTATTTTGTAATATGACAAAAATAAATAAATAATATTGATAAATTATAAAAACAAAACAAAATATTATCAACCATTTGTTAATATAAACCCATCATTAAAAATGTTTAAATGTATTTATATTTAATATAATAATAAAATAATATAGTAATATATTTATTTATGAAAAAATTGAAAAAATTAAGTTAAAAATAAAATATAATAAATACTAATAAAATAATAATGAATATAAATGATAAGATAATTAATAACAAAAAATAAATATTTATCTTATATAAACAATAGTTGAATGCTGTTATTTTGTGCATATAAATAACTAAAGGGATTTAACAATATTTTTTAATTGAACGAAAATGTTTGTCTTTGATGAAGAATATTTAAAGGAATATTTTCTTTTAATTTCCTTAATTAAAATTAAATTATTGTAATCAATTTTATTCACTATGAACCACTTTTCTATTTGAAGTAATGATTTTGTCATTGGATATTAAATTCCAATTACAAATTATAAATAAATAAAATTATTTATTTATGCACGACTAATTAGTCAATAATATTTATATTAATACAGCAATTATCATAAATAAATAGAAGTGATAAAATGCAAATAAAAATGATAAAAATTTAATTATGATAATAAACAACAAATAAAACTAAACCAAAACTATATATCATGAACACATAATATACCAAAAGAAGTTATTTATGGTACAGAAACGTAAAAGTCGGATTTACAAAAAAAAACTTATTTAAGTTTAGCTAAATTTCAAGATTTGATTGCTAGTACAACTGTCTTTAAGCTTTTAGTTTAAATCTTACATTATTACTTCATTATGATCAACTTACTATTGGTCTTAGATTTTAAAAATAATTATATGTAACTCCCCATTTTTCATAACTGCAATTACCGTTTATACATATATATTAGGTACTAAAAATTGTAATAAAATTAATAGATTTAAATTCAAAATTTTAAAATGTAATTGCTAAATCATTATTATATGTAGTGTCAGTAAAATCATTAAATAAGTTCAAGAAAATTGGTCTATACAACAACCTTTACCGGCCTATGCAGCTTTGCAAAAACAGCCTAAATATTTTTAAAATATTAACTAAAACTTTAATTGCTTCATCTATGTAGGCCAAAAGCAATATCTGTGCTACAGCGTTTAAAGTTATAGTGTTAACACGTGTTTTCATTGATTGCTTTGATTATCTGTTACACAATAAATTAAATTTCGTTCACATTTCTGGTTTTTTTTTTTTTGATTTTTTCGCATCCAAAAATTATTATAAAAATTTTAATAGAAACAATAACAATAAGAAAAATTTTATATAAAAAGAAATTTCTCTAAACATTTAACTGACTGACATTTAACTGAATATTAAAATCTTTTAATTAAACTAAGAAACATAATTTTAATATCTAAAAATAATTTCCATTCATTTATTAATGAAATACATAATAATTATGTCAAATTTGTTTGTTAAACTTTGATTGTTATTAATGTTTCGACACGCCACAACACCCATCCAAACAACCTACCTAAGACATGACTTGAGACATGACACAGTGAATGCTTGTCTAAATATATCTTTTAAAACACCAAATCTTGAAAGCAATTCATAGAAATGAAGAAATCGAATGCATACAATTAAAATGTAAAAAAACATATTAAAACTTTATGCAAATTATTAACAACTTATTATTACAAACACAATAGGGCTGACAATTATAAAATATATTTTGTGTCATTGTGAACAGCACTGGAATTTCATATAACATTTAATCATATTTGTTAACTGTTATACTTTTTTCATAACCTTAGCTTTTATTTTAAACATTTTGTTGCGTTTTATTTAAAAATTTTTGAAATTTCTTAATGTGATCATAAATATTTCTTTTAGTTTTATAGTCAATTTGAGAATTACTGGTTTTGATAATCTTTGTGTCTTTTTATGACACAATAAACAAATGTGTTACCTCTATTAACTTTAATTGGCATATTAGGGCTTAATAACGGCTTTAATCACCTGCTGGAAAATTTCCTTGGCATATATATACATATATATATAGATATATACATATATATTTACATACATGTATGCTTTATCATACATAATGAAATTATAAAAAAAAATGTTTAAATTAATTTTTTTTAATTACTTTCAACTAAATATAATTTTTTTCAAATGTAATAAAATTTCATGACTTCTTTTTATAATTTTCAATGACCAAACTTTATTTATGCATTTTAAAATGAACTAATTGGTTTAAATTGGTTAATGTTGAATTATGCACAACTTTTTAAATTAGTTATAAAATTTATATTTTAATTTGTATTATATATTATTTTATATATATATTATTTTTTATTAGAACTTGTTTTAAACCCTATACAAAAAGTTTTATATTAGTTTACCAATTAGCCTGTTCAAAAATATATAAAGAACCTTTAATACAGAACATTATACGAAAAAAAAAAACAAATACTTGTTTTAAAACAATTCTGATTACAATTTGTATTATATTATAAGCTGTAAATAAAGCAAGAGTTTCACTGCAATTATAAGCTAACCATAAGGGAGGGAAAAGGTTTTTCAAATAAACAGTTTACGTACATAAATGCAAATGAAAATTTTATATTATTATCTAATAAAGATTTGATAGAAGATTTTTGATTTAAAATCTATATCTATGGTATATGGTACAAAGTTTAATTATTATCAAATAATTTTTTATTTTCTACAGACATTACTTGTAATTAAGTCTTTTTTGTATGAGTTTATAATATATATATATTTACAACTGCTGTAACAGATACTGCAACTATATATCTATTATGCAATATTTGCATTACAATTTAAATTTGCTTTTAATTTATTAAAGATGTGTTTCTAATAGTAATTAAATCTTTTTTCATCACTACATAAAACATCTAGTGCATGTATATATACTTACTATTGTATATAAGCCAATTTTTTTGGAGTAACAAACAACTATAATATATATATAATATATTATATAGTATTTGCAACATAGATTTGCTTTTAATTTTCTAGTGATGTATTCTCAATTGTAATAAAATCTTATACTTACTACTATTTCCTAGCCAGTTATTTTTCGGTAATAAACTATAATATATCTATTATATAGTATTTGCAACATAGATTTGCTCTATCAACTTTTCAAATTTAAATACATACATACTATTAATAAATGTAAAAATTCCTAAATTCTCATTTTATTTTTATAGTCAACAATAAAAATAAAACTGATTTATTAAGCATTTGCTTGCTTAACTTTTAATTGACTATAAACGATTTCAAAATAGTAATTAAAAAAAGTTTAAAATGTCAATATACTAATAGTATATTATTACAAAATATTTATATAAATACATATATACACATCTATATAAAAGTTTTTCAACTAAATAAAAAGAATAATGAAAAGTTGTGATTACATGCCTACATTTTGATTGATGCTTCTTCTTATTACTTTAAATAAGCATCTAATTATCATATGCTGTTTCATTTCGTTAATGTTCCTGTTGCGGATTCGTTCAATTTCGTTGTTGCTATCATTTCTACTGACCATTGCTAATACTGACCAGTCTAATACGTTGGACGTTTTGTATTTTGTATTTTGCATTTTGCATTTTGAATATAAAATTATTTTCTTGCATAATGTATAATTTATTTGATAAACTTTTTAAAATAAATTAAAAATTTATACTTTAAATACAGCCATTGGAATATAAAGTTTTTATTTAAAACAGAAAATATTAAATTAATTAACGTTTAAGTTCTAGAAAAATATACAACTTAAATCGAGTTTGTTGCAAAAGTCAATAAAACTTGTTAAGGTCGCGCAGTAGCAATATAGCATCACTTAAAGTAGCTTCGTTGGTGCTAAATAACTTTTGCTGATGCCCCACCATTGCTGTTTGTCAATTTCGTATTTGTGTTTTTATATTATCTTTTTCTTTTTTTGTAAATTTATTGATTTTTTCAATCTTTTTGTTTTTTTTTTTTAATTGTCTTTTCCGTTTTTTTTATGTATTTTCGCGATACGAATATTGTGTGAGCTTCTTTGACTGTTTATTTATGCATTACGCTTAAGTCGTTCAAGTAGTTTTTGAATTTAGCGCAGATGCTAACTGAATTATTTATTAAAGCTCATCATTGTGTATATTATAGTTGTTGTTGTTGATAATAATGACGTTATTGAAAACTTTAATATCTTATATGTTTATGTTTGTACATAGGTATAATCGCAATTTACTTGCATTAAGGCATACATTATATTTTTTATTTATTTAATTTTTTTTTGTCAGTAACTGGTTGTGCCAAAATCCTTGACATAAAAACAAACCAAACATTTTAACTTTGTAGAAATACGTGTATGCATATGATGCAATTAAAAAATAAAGAAGAAGATGTAGCACATATACACATACATATATAAGTATGCGTAAACGCATAGTTCAAGCTACATTTAATGCATGTCAAGTGATAAATATGAATTTACATAGCCACGCAATAACATCAATCAACATATAGCAATAACAATGCAGTCCAAAACAACATTGTCATTATGTTTCATAAAACAACAACAACACCACGAGTCATCATTATTAATTCCTTTTTGTATGCTACCAACAACAACTACAACAACATCAACAACGATGGTTTTTACATTATGTGGTTTTAATAATAAAGAAAACAACAACATTAACAAAATTACTTTACAGTAACTTTTTCTCTTATACACTTGGTTCGTATAAGCTGTAAAATCGTTATTGTTATTGTTATTGTTATTAGTTGTTTGCATTATTGATGTTCCATTGACAGCGTTAATATGATTTATTTTTAATGACACCTATGAAATTAATACAAATTTGTGTTAACTTTAATTTTAAATCGAATCATAAAAAAAACAAAATTAATAAAATATCTCTAAAATGTTTGAAAATGCATATTTTACATAAAAACCACAACAAATATGAAAACGTAAAAAATGAAGTTATTAAGTTTTGTGTAAATTTTTTGATTTGTTTGAAAAAAAATTGTTTATACAATTTTTGGGGAAAAAAAAAACATATTTCATATCATTTCGATGCATAATTAAGTACTTTTTTGTACTTTTTTAAAAAATATTTCGGTTACTTATGGGGTTATAATAACATAATCAGTAAGCTAACAAATTATTTTATTATGTTTATAAATCTTGTTATTTTGTTCACAGTTGATTGTTGACTGATTACTTCATTTGTTGCAAAGTAAAGGTAGAGATGCAAATAAAATATGGCAAAAGAGTTTAGTACTGCTTAATGCTCAAACTGCAAATAAAATGCATAGAAAAACAAATAAACATTAAAATTATTATTATATCCATACTCCATTAGAAGCTTAAGGAGTCCATCCCCTGCTGAACTGTCCTTCTAAGGGTTATTGCTTGTCTGACATTAAAGTATTAAAATTATTGACCGAAAATAGATCATATTGTGGAAATAATCAAATAAATTTTTTTGAAATATGTTTATTAGACCAACATATTTATTAGCTTTTATTTAAAGGTTTAGATATTCTAATTTTAATAATAGGGCATCTATTATTATCTATCTATTATCTAGTTTATTATAAACATTTTTTTGTTTCCAATTAAGTTTTAATAAAACTTTTTATAAAATTTTAATAAAGTTTTAATAAAAAAAATTAGTATATAATTTTACCTAATAATTTAATTTTAAATTCAATTATAAAAATTATTTAACTAATTGTAAAGTAAAATATTTATATTATTTTTTCAATTATATTTTAAATATGTTTTAATAAAATACCTAAGTAATGTTTCTACTCCAGTAAAATAAAATTATTGGTAAAACCCATGAAAATATTATTAAAAACAAAATTAATTAAAGTTTTCTTGATTCAAATTCTAATAAAACTTAATTTATCATATTTTCTTACTGTGTAAATTATATCTTCTACAAATTCTAATAATAAACAATTTTATTAATGACATCAACTGTAATTGTTGTTGCGTTTTTTACCGCCTTTTTGAAATTGTATAATTTAAGTACTTTTTCATTTACATTATACATTATATATGCATACAAATACAGCAGTGCAAGAATATATATATTTTCCATAAAATATATATATGTACTGAATATAGTTGTTCACATAGTTTAATTCAAATAAAAAATTATTTCAATTAGAATAGATTTTTAGACATTTGCATTCATAAAATTGATTCATACTTCGGTCGGCAGTGGGTTGATTCGTCGAAAAATATTTTTTTAATTATATATCAACTTAACAATATATAATTTACATAAAATAAAAAATTATAAAAATTATTAAAATAATTAAAACATGAATTGTTCTTAATTAATAAATTAAATTAAACGAATTAAATTATTATAAACAAATTTCTTTCCGTAAATAAGAATTTATAAAATATAATGAATTATATAATTTCCTAAAAAAAAATTAACTTAACAATATGTTGTAGAATGCTTTTCAATATATTTTAATTTTTCAATTTCAATGAATTCATTCTTCTGTTCTGAAGTTTTGTCGAGATCACTTATATATAAAAATATAAAATAAATAAAAATAAAATATAATATTAAAATATACTCGCATACGTAATGTTTTTACAGCTTTAAATTCAAAAAGAACTTGTAAAGATTTAATTAAATAATTTGTATAAACAAATAATTAAAAAAGAATTAATATTTTCTATTTATATATGGTTTTAAATTTTGAGAACTTAAATTACATAAAATAATTTAAAAATGAAATTCCAAAGTATATAAATAATTATTTTGCACCTTTTTCAATATATATGAGTATTTTATATTGTTTTATCTTTTGTTTTTGGAACTTAAATTCTGAATATAATTAATATAATTATTTTAACACTACATATTTAATAATAAATTTGTTTAATTTTATTTTTAGATGAAAGCTACATTAGTGATAGCTGCTTTATGCATAGCAGCGGCTTATGCAGAGCCTGCAATCAGCCAAGCCAGAACCACCACGACCACATCAACTAAGCCCGGCAGATTCTTATCATTGCCAGTACCAGCAAAATGCGCAAACCGTAAGTTTATATTCAAATGAACTATATATATATATATATATATATATATATAATATATATTAATACAATGCTCAGCATAATTCAATTCAATGTAATTATTAATAGTTAACCACTTTCCATTTGATCGAATGCCAAAAGTTCATTTTTAAAAAATTTCCGCTTTTTTCTTTTTTAATAAAATTTCTTTAACAACAACTCCATGTAAAGAAATTCTTTTATATACACTTTGGTATACATAACTTTTGTACGTGCTGTAATTTATTATGTTTTATTTAAAAAATTTCTCCCCTGCCTTATTAAGTTTATTAGGTTACATGTTAGGCGCTAGAGATATTTAAATTATGAGTCTTGTTATAGGCATAAAAAAATGAAGAGAATGGGAACTAATAGTAATTTTGAGACAAACAATGGCTTTTAATAAATATTATTACATGAACATATTATAGAGATCAAAATTTTATGATATAATTGTTTATAGTGTTTATTTTGATTAATTACAATAAACGAAATTCATAATTTTGTTTTCGTATTCTTATTTCATACTCCATAAACAAACCAACTAGTTCTAATATAGATTATTTAGATCTACTGAAGAAAAAACTGGCTATGCTAAAATCTTTATACAGCTTTAGAATGCTACAGTAAAAGTTTTGTTACAGAGACAGATCTGTTGTTGTGGCATTTTTTTTATTTAAAATAAATCTCTTTCTTATTTTGACATCAAAAAAATAAGTTATCAGCTTTTAATTTAAGCTTCCAACTGACTTGGACATCTATATGATTCATATAGATGTCTCTGTTTATGTAGTACAAAATTTATAAGTATACAAAGATGATTTATTTTTATACAATTAAATTATAAATATATAAATCTGCATATTATATGTTAAACAAATAACCTAATAAGAACAAAACTATTAGGTTATATGTGAAAAGTAATAATATATGAAATATAGTAAGCAATTCAATGGTATATAAGCAATAGTATTCAGTTAGCAAAAATAATTCTTTCATAAATACTTATAACTTATTAATTTGATTAGCCATAACAACCCGTTGCCCAGTCTCGGCCTAAAGCAATACCCTTGAACACTAAATGCGGTTAGTTCTCTCTCAACTTGATGACTTCTATCTATCAGCTGCCTCCAATTATTACTTCAAGCACCTGTTACGGTAAAAAATCGTCATCCTTTCTTATGGCATGAACTATCCAGCGATACTGTTATGCTAAAACTCGTACAACTTGTGATATATTCAGATGTGATAATCGTCTATAATTCGTAGGTAATCCAAGATCTCACTAAAAACCTTTTTCTCGAATAAAGAGCTGCATATATACATAATATATATAATTTATTACTTATCTATCCGTACTATAAGAAACCATTAAGATTTTTACATTTTAAAATGTAACTGAACTCAGATATTTTTACTTCTATAAACATACTAGCTTTTAATATACTTCAGCAGACATACATATATACATAATGCTTGTATTATATTAGTTATGTATCCATAATATAGAGAACCATTAAGGTTTTTGCTAGTTAAAAGGTAACTGAACTCAGACATACTGACTTCCATAAAAATATTTACTTTTATTGATATATAAGCATACATGTTTGTGCTTTATATATATTGATATTTTTATATGTACATATAAATGAAAATCCGTTTTCGTAGAATAGAACCTATTCTCAAAGTTTGTAAACTATTATTTGAAAATATTAAATAATTATTTTTTTTCATCAGCTCTCACTCTTCAAGTTCGTCAGAGTCAAACCTTGGAAATGTTTAATTTTTTATTTAACTTTTAATATGCAAATTAAATGACTTAAACTTAAAAAAAAACTTTTTCAAAAGAAATTTAAATTTAAATAAAAAAAAACAACTTTCTTAAGAATTTTTTCCCTTTTTTACAATTTTGAACTTCATGGTGTCATTTATAACTGGTATTATAAAACTTATGCCTTGGTAACCAAAACCACATGTATATGTTTATGCATGTATATCTATCTATATGTAATAAAAAACAAAATAAATTTTTTTTAATTTTGTTAAATTCGAAGAAATTTATTAATTCATGATTTTGTAATTATTAGTTTTTTGAGAATATAAAAAAAACACATATAATTAATTAACTAAAAACGACTTGTCTCAATAATTATTACACAAGAATGAATTAAGACATACATACACATACATAAAATGAATTTATATATACATATTTTTTTAATTTAGGAATTTATTGAGATTGTCAAAAGGAACGAGTTAAACTTGTACAAAATTAGAAAAAGCAAAAGTTTTTATAAAAATAAAATAATTTTTATTTAAAAAAATTTGCCAATATTAGTTGCTTTAATTGTGTATTAAAAAAAAAATTATTTAATCGGATCAAAAATTTGGCAAAAAAAATTTAATCATTTTTAATAAAAAAAATTTGTATCTTATGTAAGCTTAAATTTTTATTAAAAATATTTTTTTTTTTAATTTTTACTAATGAGTCTGGACTTTAAAAATAGCATTTTAAAAAGTCAAAAAGAATGACGGCTTCGTTATAATGAAGATTTATTATTTGTTGGATTATTTTTAAACATTTATTTTTAAATATAGTAAAATTATTCTTCACAGGGTAAAAATACATTTTATTATTATCAAACTTTTGCCGTGTAATCGCGCAACAGCTGATACTACTGCCAGAAAAGACCTATTGTACTAATTTCACTATTAATTACACAAAACCCTTTATAGCTTCGTGAACAAAGTCCAGAACTAAATCTATAGAAGAGCTCTTAATTTGTTCTGGTGACAGAAAATCCATATGAAATAAGTTTCTTCTGTACGTTATAAAAGCTGGACAGTTACAAAGAATATGAATAGTAGTTGCCGCATAATCTATAATCTGAATTAGCAGGTAGACGCAGTTTATGAAGATGATATTTCAGACTATAACAACCCGTAATGAAACCTGTTATGAACCTTAAATTAATGATTCTCCCTCCTGACCCTATGTAATCCACAAAAGGGTTGAAGACCTGCAATAGCTGTTTTTGATGCAATTATTGCTAACTCATCAGCTTGTTCATTTCCCGCAATTCTCCTGTGACCCGGCGCCCAATAAAGGCTTACCTTAGTCCGGTCTGCAAGTAACTGCAGGAGCTCATAACACTCAAAATAATAATACAATATTATGCATTAGCAAAAATAATCACATAGCTTCATTAGGGTAACCTGTTGATACTTATCACAATTAAATTAGTTACACTATATTCACATATGTAGAACAAATATCTTCATATCTGTGATAATTTTGGAGTAACACTCAAGCAAAATTTATTCATTTGTGAATCAAATAGTATTGAAACATCTTGACAGATTTTATAATAATGACTAGATAGAATCAATAAATTGCTTCTGAATCAATTTTTCCTTATAAAGAATAAAAATCGTTCCTCAAATCGATGTCAAAGAATGTCAACACTCAAAAATATGTTTATTTACTTATATAGATCTGGACTTCATCGATAATTCAGTGGGTGAATGCTAACGATAACGTCTTTATTATTAAATTTCGTTTCATTGAAATTGAAAATATGTCGAATTACTTTATCAGTTCATTGAATATAGCAAATCCGTAACTTTATTTTGAATAATGTAAATTGGTAGTAATACAAAATATTACTATATTTTAACAAAAAATTTTCAACGCATTTTAGAGTCATTATTGTTATTGTTATTGTTATTGATTTATCGCCAAACACAATAAGCAAATCAAATTATAACACAAAAAAAATTATATATTATAACTACAAACAAAAGACTTAAGCTACAAACTTTTCTTTTGAAACAATTTTTTTGAGACAATTTGAGCTAATGCGAATGATATTTGTATCGAATATGCAATAAAATGCAATTCTGCATTACATAAGTAATTCATAAAATTAACAAAAAATTCATTTATTTAATTTGCTTAATTATTTCATGCCAAAAAAAGCATCATTACTTAAATAATTATTTTCAAATGAAAACGTATAATTAAAATGCCGGATGTGAACGCAGTTGTGCACTTGCATTTCGACGTGCTATTTAAGCTATTAGCCCTTTATGAATTACACAATAAGGTGGGGAAAGGCAGGTGGGGAAGCGGTGAATTAATTAGCAATTTTATGTATTATACAAGTTGTCAGTCATTAAATGCATATTATAAGTTTATTTTTGTTATATTGTATTTAATGTAAAATACTTCAAACATTTTGTAATCAATGAGAAATGAATTAAACAAAAGATTAAGTATTTTTTTTTTATATATAAGTACAACATTATACTGAAACCTGTATTTTTTTTATGTAAAATAAAATTTTATTTTAATTTTAATAAGTTTTTTGATTATTACTGGACTGTGGTCGTTTATTTAAAACATAAAATTATAAAAAATGTATTTTTTTTTAAATAAAAAATTACACATTATTAATTTGTGTTAAATATTTTAACTATATATTAATTTAATAATTTTTTATAATAATTAAAATATTGTTAAAATATTTAACACAAATAATAATAATGTGTAATTTATTATAAAAAACACATTTTTTCTAATTTTCTGTGTTAAAAACACGACCGAAGCCCAGTAAAAATCAAAAAACTTATTGAAAATTAGTCGTAATAACAATTAATAATAAATTTTAATTTTAAATTTAAATAAGACAAGTACTCACCCTACTTTCTTCAGCTTGTCAATCATAAATAGAAGATTCTTAAGTTATGTGCATTATCACCGTTACCATGGCTTTCATATAACAATAACAGATCTTGTAAACTCATTGAAAATGACCATGTTAATTCTGCAAGATTTACTGCAGTTCTCTTTGGTCACTGGTGTTTAGCAACCCACACATAGAAACTGTATATTGCTTTAATACTCATTGCAAGAGCTGTGGAAACTTACAGGAAAAAGAAACAATTAAACATTTTTTCTGCCTATGCCCGGTTCTGGCCTCCAG